TGGGATAATCATGAAGGGTTTCAATCAGGATTGCCGTGGAATACGAGGATTTCAAGGGATATTTCTTGGGTGGAAAGAAAAGAAATATCCCTGAAATAGCCTTCCGTAACTGAAACATTACTTTTTAATTATTCAATGATCAGAAATTTCTCACCTGTTTTGAGATAGTTTTTCCTAGTCTGGGTCTAGGTGAAGGGCCTCTGTAAACGATTTCACTAGTATATTTCCCATTTCTGCCACAGATGATGGTCCTTCTGATAAAATAAATAATTGAATTGATGCTTTTGGGAGAATCAGTAGTCTACAATTTAGTCACATGCAGGAAGCTTGACGCCATCCTGTATTATCTCTAGTGCGCAGAGGTTGCATATGGAATGTCTCCTGTTATTTCATGATATTGTTATGTGACAGAGAGTTCAGGAAAGACGCAGAAGGCTATCCGTCCCAATATTTTCGAGACACCACTTCGACATGTTTTGTCAGATGATGGCATCGACGATTATTTTCTTGTTAAACTTTGCTGAAAGTGAGGCCTTTCCTTCTTCGGGTAAGTTTTTGAACTTCTCCAAATCGAATGTTTTCTAGCTAGTTATCAATTTGGATCTATTCCTATCGATCTGTGAGCCTCATTGGTACACCACATTTACCTCGAGGTCTTTTTGCCGATATAGAATGTTGAAGTAGCATATCGAGAATCTTGGTACGGATAGCCTCCTGCATCGATTCAGGACTCTTCGAATCAAAACATTATTATGAAAAAACAGGTGACATTTTATATGCAACTTTAGCGTACTAAGGGAAATACAGGATGGCGTCAAGCGTCCTACATGTTACTAGAATGCTGACTTGTGATTCGCTCAGAACATATTTTCAATGAGTTCAGAAAAGAATATGACACAATAAACTTGCACAATGAGAGTTTATTTCACTTGTTAGTTACTCACGCTCATTACTTGAATTGCACGAACATCAAAAACATGAATTCGTTTTCAACCATAACATCTGATGTTACATGTCGCCATAGTTTCGAATGGAAGTGAGTTTTTTTTCGCCAGTAGATATAAGGCGCTTCATTTTTGACAGAAAAATCATCAGTTTGATTGAATCAAGTTGATATAGGACATAACAAGATCATCACGATAATCTTCCATTTTTTTAAGCAACCCTAACGAAAAAGGGCCTTGGCTAGAAATTTATTTTGTTAATCCTCAGTAATATTCATATTCATGTATGATGACTGTATCTGCAAACCTATAAAGATAGCTTTGAAGTTAGGTCATAAAATATATATCTGTATGTCCTTTTTTCTCTAGAACTTCGTCGCAATTCTGAAAGGAATGATTTTTATGTGTGTTTCTTGATCTATTTATATTTATCATCTGCAAGAGCTAGATGTGGGTTATGGCTCAAAGCTTCATCTCACCCAATTCCATATCGGTGACCTCAATCCTCTTCTCGATCTCATAACACATTATGATTCACGAGCAGGTATAGCACGTACTCGAGACTTTTTATTTTGCTTTACACTCCAAGAAACACATTCCAAGATGAAATTTTCGTCTCCAAGAGGAATGAATAAATCCTCTGGTAGATACACTTACTCGCGAACGAAAAGTTTCTTTCGAAACACGTAGTTATCTCGCAAGTCGTACAATTCAGAAAATGGAAGTTCGTTTTACATCGATTCTGCCGGCAGCTGTTATATACTCATCAGGAAAGTTGGAAAACTTCTCGACCCTCTGTGACATATCTGCTTGTTATAATCGTATCATTTTGACTATGCTAATTCCTGTTCTTCCTTCATCATCGTCAATCATTTACGGCGTTTCCCGATTCCGTGAATTGTTCACCTCCGAACCGTGATGAACTTTATTCAAACAAATTATTGATATTGAATTATAGGATACGATATATTTCACTCATTTGATTGATGCAATATTTTTCCATGAATCTAAATTGCACCATGAAGTGGATGAGAGAATATTACGAAACAATTATAAATATCTTGGAAGTCTGGGAATATTTTTGTTTGAGGTACACAATACATACCTCTGGAATTGCATTCAACAATATTTTATTAATTTGAAGTATATGAAAAAACCGATAGGAACAAATTTTTTACGACTTGGGCAGGCAAAATTGTTTGGTATAGTTCGTGTCTGAGCAACGGACTGTAATACTACATCAATGTATTCTGTGGTCTGATGATACCAGAAAATAGACTTTCTTGAGCGATTTCAGAAATGAACTATCGATTCTAATATTCTATATTAGATGAATTCAATACTATCAGCGTTCCTGATATTTCAGATTGACAGATTATACCGATTGCTGATTTCCCCGATTTGTCTTATATTGAACGTTTTTGATATACTCTTTGGGGCGCAACTGATGAATTGAAACTGATTGATAAATATCAACATTCTCAACATTACTCTCATGTGGTCCTGGAAAATGATTGGTGAGATATTAGTTGACAATCATTCATCAGCTGTGAAGAGATTCTAAATCTTATAGGTATGTCTCTTCGATTTCTAGATCGAACAATAGTATAAATTCGATTGTGGGATGAATATTAGGTTCTAGAAGTGTATAGGCATGGTTCAACAATTATTTTCAACGAACAAAAAATATAAGCGTAGTATTAGAATACATCAAAAATAAAGAATTAGTTGAAAATAAAACTGTCTCTGTACAACTATGGAAATCACGTTTGATATCCTGAGAACTAAATATGATATCGAAGACTTTGGAGCAAAATCTTGAATCGGGAGATATTTTCTACCGAATGGTCCTTCCCAAACATAAAATCACCATTTCAATTACGAGGGGTTGATGATGTTACATTTTTTCGAAGGGAACACCGTTTATTTTATTGCATTTTTCGAACGGATGCTTTTCAATTATTTCATGAATATATGAATTTCATACAATCCAAGAAAAAATGCTGGATGAATCAGAAGGATATAACTTGAAAATGATTGAAACTGTGGTCGTGAAATCATCTGATTGAATTCGAGTGTGCTATCAGGGTCAACTGTTCAATATTGTCGATAATTTCCTGGATTCAGCTCAACTTCAGCTGTATTATATTATTGATGATTTTTCGACAAAAATCACAATCAATCTCAAGTTCCATTCTCTCGATCAGCAAAAGTCACTCTTTTGAAATATGCAGTGAAATATAGGGTGTTCCTTTTGAAAAACATCCAAACTTTTCGCACCTCTGTATATGGAATGGATATGATATTGCTTGAAGAGCACTATTCCGAATAAAAGAACTATCAATTCAATATTGTGTTCCGAAGTTTCTAATATCTTATTTAGTTTTTGAAATATTGAGTGTTGAAAGCTTGTAATTCATAGTCAATTTCATAACTTCAAAAACGAAAATATTCCCTTTCAAATGTGTAATCTGGATATAACTTGAAATTGTTTTTTACGAGGAACATTTTATAGTTAATTCTGATTATTTCATCAAATTCAGCGTGGTCTTTCGAATTATCAAAGGTTGGGCCCACAACTGGTTTCTTGGTATTCAAAAGAGGTGGAAGAATCGAGAAATATACTTTTTTTTTCAATCTCTTGGATCGCACGAAAGGAAATACATATAATGAAAGATCCTTCTATTCTTCCGCATTCATACTTCAACACTTTACAAAAACTTGTTCGTCATAGCTTTGGAATTATTTGGCGTTATGCTAGTATTTTTAAGTACTTATAACCTCCAATAGTTCAAAAAGAATGACAACCTCCCCTTCCTATTTTTTCTAGGTATGCCAGATGTTTTTCGAACATCATTGAAATTTCCTTACGTGCGCTCCAACAGATAAAAAGAAACTGCCATGATATTCGACCAATATAATCTAACAGTTCAACTTTTCAACGTTTTCATGATTCAGTGTGTATATTTACTTATCCTTTGGAGCGCACGAAAGGAAATACCTCAAATATTCGAAGAACATCGCGAGTGCCTTTGAAGGAGAATGTAGAAGATGTAGGTATATTGACATTTTCGTGGACTTTTGGAGATTACATAAGTTCTTGGTAATACTTCCATGAATGCATTGTCAAAGAATTTCAAAGCTTTTCCGTTCTATAAAAAGGGAATTCGGGAAAAGGCTCAAGGTAGACAAAGAAAGGATGTGCTGACTAGGCTTGTGGTGTTTATTTGTCTAGTTTTGCTGGTGATGAAAAGATTAAAGAGATTCCTGAAGAACTCCTTCCGTGGAAGTATCTATAGGAAGGTGAAAGTTCGCCGACTGTTTTACGGTGTTCTAATTATGTCAACGAAAGAGTGAGTACGGTATCCCCCACTAGGCAAATGATTCTGCTTTGGATGGAATCAACGAGAACCAGGGTCTGTTTGGATGCTCATCTATATATGTGGTAACAGTATTCTGAATCAAGCCGTATCTCTGCTCTGGGGATCATGAGGAGCTGTAGTGCTGTGAAGTAGATTTTTGTACGAAATAAAAATCCGAGTCTTTTTCAAGTAGCCTTTCCCGATCGATCTAACATGAATTTTCCGTGAAGGAGTATTACTGAACGGAATGATGGTATCACACATTGCTATATCTGAGTTCTGCCTTTCTAAACAAAATACAGGTTCTGAGCTCCCTAGGTTGAAATTTAAGCAAGATCTTCATTGACAGCGTTAACCTGCCATTGCCGTGAATTCCTAGTTTCCTGGGAAAAAACGGTAATTCTGAAAGAGGACGCAGTATGGAGAGTACTATCATCTGCATAGTTGTGGATGGACAAATGGTCGCTCCCAACAAATCAATGATATAAAGTAGGAACAATGTTGGTGTCAAAATCGATCATTTTGGAACGTCGTTCTTGATACATATACCTTTCAAACGATGTGGGTATTCATCTATGCATCTCATCATCCCAAAAAGATTATTTCGCTTGTTCCTCTCCTTCGAATGGACTTTAAATTTTTTGTATTACCGTTGAGACAGATTCACACAATAATTGCCGTTATTTTGTTTCAGAGTCACCTCATACCATACAATGCTACAGCAGGTATACTTCCTGAAGATAGCAAACTTACACTGAAAAATATCGAACAGAATTCAGCGGGACAATATGCTTGTTCAGCCATGAACTCTGAGGGAGAAACATACAGTGCCCCATTCGAAATACAAGTTCAATGTGAGTATATATTTTGGACTGAATCGTTATCTATGAGAATATGAATTGGAAATATAATTGTGTATATCTGGAGTGGAGAAGTTACTTAAAATTTTGAAGAATGGGTCGAACAGACCACTGTGTTATGTGTCTTCCAGTTCAGTAGAAGTAGAAGGAGGCATATCCTCAAAATAACTCTATCGTTTGTGTGTGTGTGTGATATGAGTCTGTTCGAAGGGGTAATGCACTGTTGCCAAGTAAAATTGATGTTGATATTCGGTAGAAGTCCATATTGCTCACAGTGGAGTGAAATATCTCAAAGGAAGTAAAGAGTGCTCGAAGTCATATCCACAAATTTTAATGATGTTGTTACATCATCATGAGGGTCATGTTTCGGTCTTATTTAAGACCATCTTCAGCCTACTTGAAACTTCTTCAATACAAAAAGAGAATAAAAGTTGGAGTAAAAAAATTACCTAATTTGTGCTTGACTCACTTGGAGTTAAAACATTTTTTGATGCTACTGTTTGTTGAATTGTTGTCGATGCCCATAGTCAAGAAATCAAATTCCTAATGAAAAAACGGGTTCTCAATAAATAAAGGGCCTCGTGCCCTGAGAGCGAAGACTATTATTCTTACTGAAATGTCATATACCAAAATGGTATATGAAGGGTATTCCGTGCCCTTATGAGAGCTCTACTCAACTGGAATATCAATAGAATTGATGGGACAGTTGGGACAAACAGCCAGCACGTATATTTGAATCTGAACTGATCTGGTTGGGAAATACTGAAAATAATATCAATTGATGACGTAGGCAAGATGTTGACATTAGTCAAAGTCAATGTCGATGAATGAAACATGATATTCTGACCATGAGCATAGGCGTATAACAATATAGCTGATACAACTACTAAAAGAATGTGGATGTAGGAGGAGGGATGCATGTAGGGGAGAGTTGAGCAAACCTGGAAAATCATTGACTATGAAATACCATGGAATAAGAGTTGTGACCAAGGTAGGTGTTTTGATATACAAATGAGGGAATCTTCTTGAAGAGAGTTGTGTAGGTATTGGAAGTCTGAAAATGACAGGATACTTTCAGTGATTTCATGAAAGCCATATATATTCAATCATTCATTATATGAATGCAATATTGAAACCTAATACATATTAAGATATCAGTACATTGAGTACTTTCTCGTCATAGGATTCTTGAAATCAGTCAGTTCGATTGTTCATTGTGATATATTGTATTCACTTCCGAAATTATGATTGAATATTCATCGACATAATATGTGACAAATTTGCAGTGTCCCATTTGCGGCTTTATAGTATATCGCATTTTTGCCCTCTGTGAACAAAGTTCCTTGTTATTACGTAATGCAAATGATGAAGGAAATACAGTTTCGTATTTTGTTATTTCGAGTCGAAGATATTCCAGAGAATCGAAAATAATTATTCGATGTTGTTTCTCTAATTTCATGCGAAAATATTATAACTACCGAAAACTCCCCTATTCTAATTCATATCACGAATATCATAATTTTGGAAAGTTTTGAGCAGAGTTTCTACAAATTATAGTTTCGAATCAAATAATGTGGAAAACCACGAAAATAGGGACTGACGGATGAAAACCTCCAACTAGGCAGCACATTTTCGTAACGTCGGCTTAAAGTCACGAATTCATCCTGGTCTATCCTCCAGTATGATTTCCTCAATACATATAGTGGAATATTTGTCACATCGTTCTGCTTGATAGCGGATAGAATAGAGAATACAAAATGGAACAAACGGACGGAAAAGAAAAAATTAATGATGGTTCAAAATTGTTCAATATTGGAACGGAATATTCTCAGATATATTCATGAAAACAAAAGAACGGATATAAATATATGGAGAAGTACATTGAGAATTCGTATTCTCCATGTGATGATAATATCAGTTCTTTCTCGGTTCATTCAACAAAAAACAACTATACTTTCCTGGCTATATGCCACGACGAACATTGCATTGTATCAAATGAACACACACGATTAGAATTTTAAAACAAAAACTTCTGAAGTAGAGAATTTGCATTCTCCTTCATATATTATATAAAAGTATGCTTATAATATCATTCTGAATATTCAACATAAAACAACTACTTTCCTGGCTATTTGTCACGTCGAACATTGAATTATATCTGTTGAATATCCAGAAAGAGAGCATGAAAAATGGATATCCTCTGAAATTAAGAATTGACACTATCTCTGATGTATTATGATATGAAAATATCACCTACCAATATGATGAGCTTGAAACTTCCAAACAAAAAATAATTCGTATCAATGATAATATGGGAATCATTTCTTTCACAAACAGGTTATACGACTTCACTCGAATAAAATTCATTTCGGATATCAAATCCTCATCAGTAACCTGAAGTCCAATCATTCATTTAGCAATTCTGCATGATATACACGATTTTCATCTCCCTTTAATATTACTAAATCTATAACGAACTAACATCTGAGAATTATAATTTGCTGACATAATCACTGTCATACAGGAAAGTAGTTGTTTTCTATTGTATTATCAGAATAATATTATGTGCATACTTTCATATGAAGGAGAATGCAAATTCTCTGCTTCAGAAGATATTTTTGTCAAATTCCCAGCAAACATGATTTTTGCGGCCCTGTAAAGGTACAATGAAACTTGCCGGCGAGCGGTAACAGCGGTCCTGTATTGTACAACTAAATTGGGCCGGCTAGCCCGTGTCCCGGCGGCCGACAGCCGACCGCCTCTATAGAGCCATCAGTATGCCGCTTATTACATTGCAGGGCTTCTGGTGGGCAGAAGCCAGTACTCAAATGTACTGCATTCATGGCATATATCCGGCCCGATTGAGACTTTCCAGAGACTGCCATTAATTGGCCGCTTGAGTATTATTATTCCCCCGATAGAGGAGTTTTTCAGTGCCGTTGGTTAACTAGGTTGAATGAATTCAATATTCATGGTATTTTGTTTTCTGTTGTCCCATTTTTCAACTAGGTTTGTCAAAAAATATACAGGGTGATGCATATATCTCAGTGAAATAGGTTTTTTGATAGGTATCCCAGTTTATATCACCACTTGGAAAGCAACGTATCTCATTTTCACTCAGATTTGCATCACTCTCTTTATTTTCAAACTGGTTAAAAAAGTGGAACTTTAATAAACAGAATTGAGGTCTCCGAGTTTTTTCGTGAATCCTCTTGGTATAAAAGGAATGTGGAATTCACTCCTAACCTGAAGTTGTTGAATAATTATATAAAATCTCTGAGATGGCATCCTGATATCACAGTTATTTCCAGGAACTAGCAGTATAAATACCCCATACAAAAACAAGAACTGAAAATATGCATGTGTATATTATTGCCATGATCACAACCAATACATATCATAACTATGGAAACATCAAACATCTTAATTTTAGTTCTACGCATATCACTCTGTATACTCATTATGAAAAGGTACCTACAATTTCCAATAATATGTTTTTGTGTTTCATCATGCAGGATAGATATTTATTTTTCCACTTACTTCAAAAAGTTGCTAACTCTAGGTCAAAAATTACATCACCTATAGGTACCTATACCAAATAACTTGAAAGTTATGTAGGTAATCATAGTTATTATATTGATCAAGTTATTGTCAACAATAGAGTTCAATCCACAAGTAAACAATTCCCAGATATGGAGAACCTCTTACTCTTCATCATATTGATATCAGTGTTGCCTGGGAGTGAGATATCATATACCATGAAGAAATGTATATCATAGTCTGGATCATTGTGTGATTTCTGCATTAATATCTGTGATTGATGGGCTTCTGGTTGTTGATTTTATTGTAGCTGAAAGATTGAGTGATTTCATCCGCTACTAATCCAAAACATGCAACTTATTTATACATACCTACAGTAATTCTTGAAATATAACTGTTTCTTCAAGTAGGTACTCTTTGATTTTCGTTTCGAAAATAGATTTATGATTCATATGTCATGAAAGCTCATGCATCTTCAAAGTCCTCATATATTATTATATTCTTGTGTATCCGCTGAACATGTCCAAACTATCATTGCATCTGTTTGTCCAATGGTGTTCGTAAAATTATTGTCTAAAATTGAAGAATTATTTAGCTGTGCAAGTTTGTATATATGTTTGTTCCTCACTCACTCTGAATTTATTTCAATGCCCTTCCATTTTGTATAAAAATCCACTAGAAAACCAAACACGAACTGAACACAGTACTAAAATCTCTGTTGAGAGTGTTGAAACAACATAAACAAAGAAATTAATATACGCCATACTGAATCATTGTTACCACTGCAAAATGATCAAAATTAAAACGCACGCGAGCGAGGGATGCCAACGTTGAGTGAGTGATGATGGCACAATCCGTTGAAATTTTGATGGCCCTTGGACTTGGATACATACAGCGGAAGATTAGCGTCTGGGAAACAGAGGCCCATCATCACTATGTGTACATTCTGCCTTCGTCACATAATCCTTCGAAATTATATGGAGGGCCTTTCGAGGCATGCCGACATCGACATTTGCCCGCCGTTCTCGCCATGGGCCCGGCTTTCTACCGCCTGTCGATGTTTGCTGGGTTCTTATCGTGCATGTGTGTTCAGTAGATATAATTCAATGTTCGTTGTGGCACATAGCCAGGAAAGTAGTTGTTTTCTGTCTAATAAACCGAGAAGGAATTAATATTTTCATCACATGGAGAATGCGAATCATCAATAGATTTCTTTATATACAGGGTGATCCACGGTGGATGGCCTATTAGAAGTATCTGGGGAACGAAAAGACAGGACATTCTGAAAATTGGGATGCTTTGATAATTGAACATTCTCTATCCCACTAAAATATTTTCATCGATACAGTGTTGCCACTTCTATCAGAAACAACTAGCAACTTCGCTATTTCGAATGAAGCACCCTGTATTTCATTGTATTATTAGATTCTTCCTGAAGAGCTGATTTCATCAAT